GCATTAAAATTCCTATAATTTCAATCCTAACTTCTACAAAAAAATTTCTGTATAGTATGTTACAGCTGGAGGCTTGCTCCGTCATACCGCACATTTTCAAAGCGATAGCGACTATTTCCTGAAAGCGTGAGACGAAATTTATGATGACTACCTACGCGCCGCGGAAGTGGCAATCGCCAACAGCTCGAAGGCTTGCGTTGCCAAGAAAAATTGCTTTTTAATTTCGAGTATCGAATTGCATCTGTTAATGTTTGAGTAGTGTGTGATCCAAATTTTGTATCTCTACGTTGTTCTGTACTGTTTTTATCACATAAAATACTTGGCTACAAGACTTTTGGGACACCCTGTACTTGTTCCCTTTTAAGGGTAACACGCAGTCAAATGGGATTTCATATAGCCTATTTATTGCGCAGCCAATGCAACCAGCTACGTTCTCTGCAGCGACGCGGTTTCGTAGTCTCAAACGCAGGAAAAACGTGCCCACTTTCCCCTCGCTATCATTAAAACGGGAAAATTCTAGTGTCGCACTGAAATAAAAGTGAATATTTTGCTAGAATGTTCCCAGAAATGGTGAGCTTGTGAGGTGAAAGAAGGAGGAATGTTTTTCTCACAAAAATATCTGCACATTTTCCGATGCACTTTCGCAAAGTAACAACATACCCAGCACGATTCGCGTCTCTTCTCCCCCAATATGTGTTTCCCAACACAACAATTTCCTGCTTTGTTCTTCTCGGAATTTCTCGTAGTTTTTCCCATTCACCTGAAAATGATTCCTGCTTTTTTTCTAGTAAATACCGTTATAATTATTTGAATCCAACAAGCAAAATCAATCATTGAAAAATTCTAGAGAAATTCGAACTTGACAACAGTGAAGTTCCTAACCTCTAATGAGTATTCGTAAGCAAATGTGCCCAGCGCTTCGACTGTGATAGTGCATTTCATTTTCCCGAGTTGAAACGTTTCCTTTCCAACCAATTTGAACATCCAATCTCGTCGTAAAATTTCCTTCAAAACACACGATAGAGCAACATTTTTAGTAAGAAAACTTTGGAACAACGAACCTTTCCATCTATTCGAATTACTCGCTTTCCTGTGGTTGTGCCATGTTCAAATTCAATTCGATGCACCTTAAATAATAACAATTAATTATGCTACTAAAAATGTCATTCTTTGTTCAACATTCCTCAGCACAAATTAGGTAGAATTTTGCGTAACTAGCGGCATATCAGATTGATGAATTTTCTCGTAAAGTTTATAATAATGATTTTTCTGCGGTAAACCTCAGTTCGAATTACATAGAATCTTGCGAAACCAGCGACATATCAGATTGATAAATTTTCCCGTAAAGTTTGTAATAATGATTTGTCTGCGGTAAATCTTTATCCTCAACACTAGTCCAATAAAAAAATTTTGAAATTCAAAACTTTCGATTTTTTGATGTGTGTAGTCAATACTGTGCTATAGCAAACATCTGATATTCTTCACAGCTATTCATGAACCGCAAATTACAACTTAGTCTAGAGCAGGCCTCAGAAGCAGACTATCTGCGTTCGTCCGGTCCCCTGATGTTGCCTCCAAAATGGGAAAATAGACCTGTATATTAGAGAATCCATTCTGCGCCCCGCCCCTTTTTTGCGCTCCACCCATCCACGAATTGCCCCGTGACACGTTCTGACATGGCAAGCAACTCCGAGACGACTGTTTCATGTTGGCACTGTTGCATACGACAAGGTTTCCTGTTGCATGCGACGTGAGCACTCGTCCACTTCAGTCAAAATAGGCTTCAGAAAGGAGCAATTTTT